AATCAAAAGACATAGAATAGCTGAATGGACAAGAAGACATGACCTGCACATATGCTGCCTACAAGAGACCCACCTCAAAACAAAAGACCTACACAGACTGAAAGTGAAGAGTTGGAAAAAAATGTTTCAAGCAAATGAACAGAAAAAAAAAAGACAGGCTAGCAATACTCATATCAGACAAAATAGACTTCAACATAAAGACTATAAAAAGAGACACAGGAGGATACTTCATAATACTCAAGGGAAGACTCCATCAAGAAGACATAAACATTATAAACATGAATGCACCCAACATAGGAGCACCCAAACATATAAGGGAAATCTTGGGGGACTTCTAGAAAGATATAGACAGCACCACACTTATACTAGGGTATATAACACCCCACTGTCAGCAATGGGTAGACCTTCCAGACAAGATATCAACAAAGATATTGTGACATTGAACAGTGCCCTAGATCAAATGGGTTTGACTGATAGATATAGAACCTCTTATCCCAAAGAAGCAAAACACATTCTTTTCAAATACACATAGGTCATTCAATAATAGACCACATGATAGGACATAAAACAAGCCTTGGGAAATTTTTAAAAAATGGAAATCATATCAAGCATTTCTCAGACCACAAGGGCCTGAAACTTGTAACTCACCATAAGAAAAAAACTCAAAAACACTCAGATTGATGGAGATTGAATGGCATGCTATTAAACAATGAATGGATCAAGAATGAGACCAAAGAAGAAATTTTAAAAATTATGGAAACAAGTCAAAGTGAATATACAACAGTCCAAAACTTATGGCACACAGCGAAGGCAGTTCTGAGAAGGAAGTTCATAGCAATACAGGCCCTACCAAAAAAAAAGACAGAAACATTTCAAATAAACAACCTAACCCACACCTATAAGAACAGGAGGAACAACAACAAAGACAGCCCAGAGAGTAGAAGGAAGAAAATAACCAAGATCAGAGCAGAATTAAATGACAGAGTCTAAAAGAACAATTCAAAGCATCAGTAAATTTAAGAGCTGGTTTTTTGAAAAGATAAAGAAGGTAGACAAGCCTTTAAACAGACTCATAAAAAAAAAAAGGGGGGGGAGAGGACCCAAATAAACAAAATCAGAAAGAGGACAGATTACAACTGATACTTAAGAAATACAAAGTATTATAAGAAATTTCTACAAATAACTATATGCCAAGAAATTTGAAAACCTGGGTGAAATGGACAAATTTCTAGGAAAATACGATCTTCCAAAACTGAATGAAGATGAAGGAGAAAGTCTGAACAGACTGATAGCAGCTGGTGAAATCAAAGCAGTAACCAAAAAACTGCCAGCACACAAAATCCCTGGATCAGACAGTTTTACAGAAGAATTTTACAAAACATTTAAGGAACAGCTAACCCCTATCCCTCACAGACTATTTAAAAAAATCTAGGAATAGGGACAACTCCCAAACTCTTTTTATGAAGCCAGCATCATCCTAATCCCCAAACCAGATAAGACAAATCAAGTCATAAGGGAAGTGTAAATCAAAACCACAGTGAGATTTGTCACCTCATATCAATTAGAATGGCTGTCATCAAAAAGCCAAGAGATGACAAATTCTGAAAAGGATGTAGAAAATAGAGAACCCTTGTGTATCATTGGTAGAATTGTAACTTGGTAATGTCACTACAGAAAACAGTATAGAAATTGCTCAAAAATTAAAAATAGAACTACCATATGATTCAGCAATTCCATCTCCAGGAATATATCCAAAAGAAACAAACATACTATGTCAAGGAGATATACACACTCTCATATCCATAACATCTTTATAATAGCCAAGACACAGAAACAACCTAGGTGTCCAAGTGATGGGTTAAAAAGTTGTTTTATGTATATGTATGTGTGTGTACTTATATATAGATATAGTATATTATATACTACACACACATATGTATAGTATATATGTACACATATATACTAACATATATACTATACATATGTGTGTACACATACATATATACTGTATTATACTATATAGTACATACTAGGTACTATAGATAGTATATACCATATACTATACACACATATGTGCATATACTATATATGTATATGTACATATAGTATATAATATATTACATACTATATAATGTGCATATATTATGTAGTATATATGTGTGCAATAGTATTGCATATATTATATACTATATATGCATGTATGGTTTACTATATCTATATATAAATACATATATATATATATAAAGTTGATACATTTCTATTCTACATAAGAGCACATGCTTCATTTAAAGCAGGAAACCTTCAATCCAATACAAACAAGACTTCAGAAAAGGAAAAGCTTGAGGAACTAGGATTTTCATAGTAATTATTCTGCAAGTTTGGAGAAAACTATTTGAAGAGCACAAATAAACTCATCAATTCTAAAATATGAGCATTTCTCCTATCATGTTATATAATCATTCCTTTTAAATGTCCTTTTAGCAGTACATTTATTACATTTATTACACCAGTGATAACTAGGCTTAGAAAGAAAATACTGTAGAGGTAAACCACTCAAAAACCTATGCAACTTTGTAACCTGTCCTAACAATAAACAATCAGTTTTCATAAATATCTTTTTTATTTTATAATTTTTTATTGTCGTTCAAGTACAGCTGTCTCCGTTTTCCCCCCACTACACGCCTTCCCTCGACACCACCCATCTCCTCTCCCACCCTCGAACCTACCCCCTTAGGTTTTAGGGGAGGGGCCATCAAGGAATATTTACAAAGGACTCAAAGTGTTAATAAATTTTGGAACAAATAAATCCCCACTGGTATTTTCACCTAGCACCAGAGCCAATCAATTGTAGGCTCCAATGCCGGGGTTCACCTTTCCTCTTTGGCATGTAGGTCCCTGACAGCTCCCTGAGAGCATGAATTTTCAATGGAGATATTTCAACACAAATTAAAAGTCTTGATATTTAGAAATATTTGCAATTTTTTATAGGTGCTTGCAGCTTCACTAGATACACAAACATTGTAGAAAGCACACAGATTCTTGATAACATCAAATGATTCAAAAATGACTCCAAAAGGAAGGTACTTTTGTAGAATTTTTATCTGAGTTTTTTAAGACAATATATTGCTAAGGTCTTCTCGTTAATAGTGATAAAACTTCCCTCGATTGTTTCAAAAGCCACTAAATTAGTGTTAACCAATGCAACATCTGGGTTATACTTACATCATTTCTCTATCTAATAATTCTCTATAAACTAGTTTGTTTCATACAAACTAGTCATATGTTCTTTTGTAGCATGAAGTTATATTCAAATTTAAAGACTTAATGCTACTCTCTAAAGTATTTTTTATTTTAATTATATCTTTGCTAGTTTGTTTTGTAAAAAAATACATGTGTAGACAATATGTATTTATACATACACATTGCAAGCACCTTCAAAAAGGATCCGAATGTTGTTGTTTTACTTTATTCCTGGTTATATAAAATTTAAAATATATTTTATGTATTTTTTCAAACAGTAGAATATTAAGAAAGGATAAAAGTAAACTAAAATTATTAAACCTTAATTTTCCTAAAAAGAGCCATATTGTAACTGATGTTTAAAATCCTATATACATTAAAAACAAATTAGAAATGTTTCACGAGAAAGTACTTTATTATGAAAAGAAAGATCTCCATAGATACATTTCTACTACTCAGGTGAACATCCTGTGTGATCTCCCTTTCTGAGTGCAGGGCACCGCATCACATTCCGTAAAAGCTTTGTAGAAGAAGCTCCTGTTCTCACACTCAGATCCTCAGACAGTCTGCACTCCTGCTCATTCAGAGAAGAGTCAAGCAGTTAAATAGAGTTTCCCCCTCCAAAAAACTAGTTTATAGATTTTCATAAATGCATATTTAAGCTAAGGAAGAAAAATGCTAGTATCATATAAATAGCCCCCGTTCACATTGCTTTCTGCTAGACAGGGCCCTGAACGGAGGCAGGGCGCCCCCTCACACACACAGTCATGGGCTGCAGTGAGTAACAAAGGAAAAACTGTTAGTTGTTCCTTTTCTCAAGAGACTAAAAGCTAGTGTTGATAAGAAAGTTTTTTTTAATAATAATCTGATTTTCATTCTAATATTTGCAAACTTGCCATATAATTTGGATGGGTGTATAAATATATATGAAATAATTAAAACAAAAACTTTGTATCGACATGTTTAAGCTTAAGAAAAATTTCACAAATGGTTGACACATCTATACCCAAATTTGAACATTTCTTTACATGGAATAATTATTATTCATCATAAAATGACATTTAAATACACAAAAATGAATATCAATTCAGGTATCAGGTAGTCTTTATCAATAAAATTCAAGTCAAGGTAAAAATAGAAAGGTTATAATATGATGCTGAATTTTATGTCTACTAAAATTAAAAGACTATGGAAAATATGATTACAAACTGGCCAATTGACAAGAAACATTTTCTAAAGAAACCTCTCCATCATCAAATAAAAGAAAAAATTAAATGTTCATTTTTAAGAGTTTAAAATAGTTTTCTTTTGGAGAATGAATATAACCTTAATTTAAATTTTTATTATATGAACTGAATCGGCAAATTTAATTTTGAAAAATTATTGAGAAATAAATACCCTCGATGCAAATAAAAAGTAACACAGAGAAAACACATGAAACCCAACTAACACTGTTTAGCCAAAGGCCAATGAATAGTCTATGAGACAGTATGGGATTCAGTCACTTGTGTGTGTTTTCCCGTATCCACTTCATCCTTTTCTTCCAAGTATTATTGTTTTATTGAAAGTACTAAATGTAAATATTAGAATCTTAAAAAATTTCAAAGCACAAGGACTATATGTCTACATTTATACTTAAAATATAATAAAACTTATGGGATCATATGAAACACATTAATTTATTAAACATTCAATTATAATTATTTTAAAATTTATTGGTATAATATTCCACTGAAGGACTGACAACATGTAATTCTTACTCAGTGATGATCCAGTTGGAAATCAGTTTCATCCTTCACTCTCTTTTTTTTAAATTTTAGCATTTTTACAGGTATAGACATGAGTTCACTCTTTTCCTTCACTGAACATTTGTATAGGCCAAAGGCAATACCAGTGGAGAAGATAGTGAATACTTTGCAAAAAAAGCCTAAATTAAAAAAAAACAATAACAACCATCAGACGCATCAATTTATTTAAAGCAAAAAATTTGTGGGAAGAATGTTAGTTGCCAAAGAAAAAATAAGTGTACTCTATCTCTAAAGGTATCAATTTCCTTATTGTAGAGTGTAATTAAAGTAATACACATATCAGGTTACTTAAAGGAGATTTTAAAAATACTCACAAAAACTTTCAGATTTCTTAAATGTATAGCCCAAGAAAAATGCAAGGTGTGTTGCTATTTCACAGAATGTATTAACTCAAAAACAAAAAAAATTAATTTCTATCTTCAAAACTTAACTATCAATAGCAACTGGAAACTGTTCAAGTCACTTCATTCAGCTTCACTCTTCCTGAAATATTCATCATTTTCCAAATACAAACAGAAATGTTTTAGAAATATTAATTGATTAAGGAGGGTTTAAACTGCTTCTTATGTTTCAAGTTTCATAAAATTAATATAGTACAAATATTATTTAAATGTACTTGAACTTTTGGTTCAAATAACCTATTGATTAAAGTAAAAAAATATTTCAGAGCAACAATATCAATTATCTGACAATATAAATTATAGTGATTTCAAAACATAAAACGAAAAAATTAACAAGTGTTACTCATTTATAATGACACAGTATTTCATACATTTCATTATAAGAGCCAAACACCATAAATAATCCAAATGTACATGAATGAGAATAGATAAACTGTAGTACGTTCACAAAAAAATTTGAATGCTCAAACTACTGCTGTAGAATATCATGGATGAATTTCCCAAAAGCATAACATTAAGCAAGACAGACACAAATGAATAAACTAAAATCAGTATATGCTGTATTACATTTGCATACATTTCTAGAATAGGTAAAACCAACATATTGTATTAGGAATCTGAAAGATGTTTATCCGTGGAGAAGGGGGGTGTTCTGGGAAGGGCTACAGGGGAGATTTCTATACCTTGTTCTGGGTGGTGGTTCCACAGGTGCACTAAATTACCAAAAGCCATCAAACCAAACACCTAACATCTACTTTCTGTAACTATATATTAATTACAAAAAATCAGTTATTTTAGATAGTTGCTTGATATATTTTTATCATTAATATTCTTTTATTTTTTCCATTTATTTTTATTGTTGACATTAATACAAATGTCCCATCCACCCCTTCTTTGCCTACCTCCATCCTTCTGCCCACTGCTTTCTAGCCATTACCCCACTGTTATCTGTGTCTTTGTGTCATGCGTATATGTGCTTTGGCTAAACCCTTCACCTTCTTTCATCCAGTTCCACCCTTCCTCTCTGATCAGACAGCTGTCAGTCTGTTTCATGTGTCCATGCCTGTTTCTATTTTATTCATCAGTTTATTTTAGTCATCAGTTCATTAGATTCTACGCATAAGTGAGAATCATATGGTATTTGTCTTTCTCTAACTGGCTAATTTCACCTAGCATAATAATCTCCAAGTCCATCTACACTGTTGCAAAAGGTAAGATTTTTTTTCATGGTCACATTGTAGTATCCCACTGTGTAAATATACCACTGCCTTTTTATCTATTCAATGAAACACAGGGTGACCAGCATCTGAATCAAGAACAAAACATTGTCTACAACAGAGAATCCCCCTTCGTGTTTAATCAAATTCACTAACCCAAAAGGGTTAGTTTGGTTTGCTTTGCTTTTGAAATTTTGATAGCAGGACAAAATTATGTAAGTGGAATCACACAGTGAAAACTGATTTATGACTAGTTTATCTCTTTCAATATTATGTTAGTGTGATTCATCTGTATTTTATGTATTTGGGTACTTTTTCTTTTCATTGTTGTATACTATTCTATTATTGACTTAATCAAGATTATTATCCACTTTATTGTTTACTGGCTATTTGATTATGCACTTTTGTGAATTTCTTTCAAGTCTTTTGTTCACTTTTCTATTAAGTTATTACTCCTTTGTTTAGTATTTATTTGTGAGAGTGCTTTATATATTTTGGACATTAGTTCTTTTTCACCTTTTTCACTGTCTTCTACACTGCAGCTCTCTTTTCTCTCTTAATTACTTCTTTTGATGATCAGAATTTATTAGTTTTTATATAGCGTGACTTTTATAGCTATTGCTTTTTGTATCCTGTTTATGAAATTTCTTCCTACTCCAAAGCTATGAAGATACTCTACTGTTTTTCTCAAAAGTGTTTATTGTTTTATCTTTTACATTTACATCTACTCTGTATTTAGAATTGCTTTTTGTAGATATGATTTGAGGTAAGGATCAAGGTATGTTTTTAGATATACATGTATAAAATGAGCCATTATACCCTGTTTAAAGACCATCTTTTTAATCATTTCAGTGTCTCCTTCCTTCACTATAACTCAGCTGAGTGTGCCTGTGTGGGTTTGTTTTTGGATCCTCTGTCCCACAGGTGGCAAACACAAGGCCCACAGGCCGAATCCGGCCCTCCACCTTGTTTTATCCACCGAGCACCTTGTTTCTTCTACCCAGCAGCAGCGACAAGCTCCTTGCTGCTTGCTGCTAGTTAAGGAGTAGTTCTAAAATTACATTTGGCCTCTTGAAGGCAACCACGAAGCTGATGTGGCCTCTGGTGAAAATGAGTTTGACACCCCTGCTCTATTCCATTGGTCAGTGTGATGATATTTGCATCACTATCCTACTGTGTTACTTATTATAACTTGATAATAGGTTTGGGTGTCTGATAGAATATACCCTTCAATTTTGTTTCATTTTCAAGATTCCCTTGGCCCTTTGACTCTCAAATAAATTTCAATCCCCTGTCAATTTAAAAAAAAATACTTTGTGGGATTTTGTTTGTGATCTGTTGAATGCTATAAATTAATTTAGAAGAAGTGGCATTTTCTAATCTTTATATCTGGAAGCATATGCATTTTTTCATTTATAGAGGTGCCTCAGTACTCATCGTTAATTCACCCAATGAGAAGTGAGCAAGTTGATGAAGCATTTTCTCTTGTGGGGTGGCGTGGTGACTCATACAAGTTCTAACAAGTGTGAAGAGTGGAGTACAAGCACCAAGTGCTGAAACATTTTTTTCTCATCGATGTGAGACAAGCACCAGGTTTGAAGAGTTCTAAAGTCAACGAGTACCAAGGTATCACTGCGTTTACATTTTAACACCTCTTAAGTAAAATTTGTGGTCTTTACTATAGAGGTTTTATACCACTTTCAATAGATATTTTTCTCGGTACTTCATTTTTTATGTTATTTTAGTTATTGTATTATTTTTATTTGGTTGTACCTGGTATATAGAAACACAATTGATTTTTTGTATACTGATTGTATATTCAACGAGCTTACTGAATTCACTTCTTAATTCTAATATATGTATTTCTTGATATTAATGCTAATTGCAGGTATGTTCACTTTATAAAACTGTGTTGAGTTATACATGTATAATATGTGTTTTTTTCTGTAAATATATATATTTCAATTAAAATTCTACAAAAATAATATAAAACAAGCCCAGTGAAGTGGCAAACACAGCAAGTTAAAATAGAAAATGTTTGCAAAAGATTTATAAATCATCTCTCTAGTGCAATGTAAGAAAGGTGATAGAATCCTTCATTTAAGGTAAAAGTATGTATGTAATGTACACATGTAGTTAGTCATTCCAATGAAAATTAAGGGAAAGATCAGAAGAATTTTCTTGCTACCACATAAAACTGAAGGATTGATACAATAAATTTACCAACTTTTTTGAGTGGTAAGATTTCTAAGAATGGTGAATGCCACTGCCTTCCTCCACAGGGAAAAACTTTTTGGACATAAACTGAACAACAAAAAATCGGGGGTTTTCAAAGATACCCTAAAGTTTACTGTGGGCTTCTAGGGCCCACGGGTCCCTTTTGAATGACACTTGCTCCATTGCAGTCTCCTGCTAAGCCCTTCTCACTGCGATGCCAGTGCTCTACGCCTGCCCTGTCCAACAGGGCAGTCCAACGTGACCATTAAACAGGCGGAATTAAGCTGTTGTTAGTGCAAAACTGAATTTCTAATTGTATTGAGTTCTATCTCATTTCTATTTGAATAGCTATACGTGGTTAAGGGGCACCATAATGACAGAATAGCTCTAGAATCTCTGGTACTCTAGATAGTCTCCCGAAGTCCTTTATTAACAATGCACATGCCTATCTCTGACCCCTGGGATTCTAATTCAGGGCCTCAGTACTTATATTTTTAGCAAGCACTCCAAGTTTTTCTGATTCAAGTGACTTATGGAATATACTTTAAAATGCACTAGTTTACACAACATTGCCACAAATGCATGCTCCTATGGCAGTTTCCTGTGTTTGCCTTCTCTTACTGTAATTTCACATGTTCTTTATTGTTGTTATCTCCTTTTATAGCTCCTTAAAAGGATTTTGAGTAGTTTATCATCTTTCTCAATTGTGTACTGTGTTTAAAAGTAGTTTAGCATAAAAATTAAAAGGCTCAGCAGTATTTTAAGAGTACATCCTTAGGAACAATGCATAGTTTTGTTGAATTATCTCTGAGAAATTTATTTTGACCTCTTAAATGTCATTTTTGACTTTTTTATTTTTTTCTTAAATTTTACTTTTCAGGTTAAGTGTTGACTAGGTTTACAGGTAACTAATTTCTGAATTAGAAGTCATTGCCGTATATTTTTTTATCAAACAGGTAATTGTTACTGTTAAACATCATGTGGTTCTTTGAATCACTGAACCCGCTTAGTAAAATCACAAAATATATAATCACTTTAGATTATTTATCACAACAAAAGCATCTATCCAATAACATTATTCAATGTTAGTAATGATTAAGACTTCAAAAACCATATAGTCCCAAATCCTCCTCTTACAGTTGAATAAAGATGCAGGAAGATCTATTGAATTTCCCAAAGTAATACAAGCATAGCTAGACTTTTCCAGACTTTCCCTGCACTGTAGCTTACACCCCCAGAGCATCTCGAGTCCTCTACCTCTGGCTCGTTCAATGAATGCCTGCTGTGTGCCATGCACTGTTATGTCATTGAGCATAAGAGACAATATGAAACTTATATTTAAGTAAGGTAAGAGTATGTTAATGCTCTTCAGTGGTACAGAAACTATTTTTTTAAATCATTCAATCTTTTATGATGGAAATGGAAAGGGTCACGAGGTCAAACAACTTGGTTGAATATGTACATAGGCAAAACTACTTCCCGAATTAAAAATTTAATAATTATCACCCTTTATTCAGGAATAACAAAGCAATGATATATTTAATACAATGACTCGGATATTTACATATATTCTATAATATTTTAGTTTCAAAAATATTTTTACATAATAATATAAGGCTTATTCAATCATCGAAGTATCCATTTGCTCATTATTGTTACTGTACCTTACATGAACAATCATAATTTTTAAAACAGTTTTGTCTCTCTGCATTTCTGCAGTAGATATGACTTACATATTCCTAAAACCAGGTAGGCCATCTTTGTCTTGTCATAGATCCAACAGTGTTCTCTGTTTTCTCTGTTTCTGCAGCGTCCACTGTCCCTAAAGGTACAAGAGCTTTCTCCTACTATTTTAAACACTATTGGTCCAGGTATACTCCCTATGAAAAAATGCAGTGATTGTAAATTCTCCATGACAACACTATAGGTTGGGATCATAATAATTTTTATCCTAAAATTAAACTTCTACATATATATTTAGACATCATTGCTATAAAACACATCATTTAAATTATCTAAGAATTTACTTACAAACAAGATTGTTAATAAGTAGAAACAACATGATTTTGAGAAATTCTTATCCCTGTAAATATAAAAAATTGGTAGATTTTCATCTTTTCACAGTGGTGTATGTGTTCTTATTTAGTTGACATCTCAGAACTGTTAATTTTTTAATGAAAAATTTAGGACAAAGTATTTCAAACAGAGATACTAAATACTGATATCAAGTACTCAGTGTTCTTCTGAAAATTTCAAATTATAAAGTTTTCAATAACTGAAAAAGTAACTTTATAATCAAATGTGTATCTGTTAATTATCAAGATATTGAGGAAAATAACTTAAAGCATAAACTTTGGTGTGTTAATAGCAGCCCCAGGTTCAGATGACCGCCCATCCGCAGAACAGCTGCCCTCAGAAGCCGAGTCTGCTCAGCAACAGTGTCACTTGCAGGTAAAAGTGAAATAAGTCATTTTTTCAAAGCCACCCCAAAGACTCCAGTACCTGAAAACGAACATGTCTAATGATTGACCATCTTCTTGAATAAATTATGAGGGGCCTCATGCCTCATGATTTGATTCCTGCCAAAGACTACTACCTAACACCAGAAATCCTGTTTCAATGAGGGCTGGCACTCTGTTTATAATTGTTCAAGGTAAAAAACCCTAGGCCTACTATGCATTCCCAAGCCATAATAAATTTTTGTAACATTAAATCCAAACATAGGTTGGATATGCTAGTTTCTCTCTGTCTCTACGACAAGCCTCAGACACCAGTTTAATGTGGCTAAGACATATTTCAGTAAAAGCCTCCATTTTCGTATTCTCCACATTATATTCTATTATCTATTTCTCCCTCCAGCAGCAGAGTTATCTTTTAAATGTAAATCAGATAATACCTATCTTCTGCTTAAAAATACCTATCCTCCTATTCTCTGATAGCAAAGCCCTGTCTAGTCTGGATCTAAAATATCATCTTATTTTACCTACTTACATTAAAAAATGTATCACTTCCAATGGGTTTGTTTCTCTGACACAGGAAACTGTCTATGCAGTTTTCTTATGTTGCCTCTTCCATTACAAACCTGTCCTTATCTAGTGGACCATTGTGCACCATAAAAATATCCTCCTTCCCCCCTCCCCAATTAAAGCTAATTTAACCCCCCTACTGATGTAGGTCCAGAATGGTTTCTCTGGTTCACATCAGAGCCAGACTAAAAACTTGTCTACATTCTTGACTTCATTTATCATCTGTCTTTCACTCTTCAATCCAGTCCAATCTTGTTTCCTTACCAATATTTTCAGTCAGCTTCTTGAACCAGGGGTCTTAATATAGTCGTAATGTGGATTTAAAAGCTAGTTTTTGCTATTTTAAGAAAGCATGGAGTACAGAGTACATTACCCTCAGCAAAACTAATTCTTTCTTTCTGTAGAAATCCTTAAAAATAACAGATTCAGTTATTTTGGTAACAAAATGTTTAAAGGCAGTAGTTTAGGTTACTGACTTCCCAAATGCAAAGCAATGTGTAGTTGTTAAGCTTATATATGCGTTTATTTCAGCTACCAAACCACTTGTGTGAGCTTACTGAACATACTTGTGATCAAATGAATTATCTCTCCTAATTGAATACAATATTAATGCATATTTTATATGGCAGAATAGGGTTTACATTAGTTGTTATCTTTTTACATTCAGTGTTATCTCCTAAATTCTGCAAAGCAGCTCCTCCTTCACTTGTTTTATTTCAGTTTACCCTCACTATTTATTTGAAATTATAAATATACATGTAAACAAATACACACATCAAAATACTAACATTTCAATATAATAAAAGATAACTAAAAGTTCATACCAAATACTCTCAAAAGCACAAAACTCAGGCCCAAGGCCAGACAACGTTGTTTGTTGGGTACGATCCTGCAAGCAAATATCAATGACATCATCAAAACATTATTGTTAGCTACAGAGAACCTTCTATAGGTTCGAGGTGAACTTTTCTTTCCTGTGCATGAGTTAGACTAAGAATCTTTGGTCAGTTAACAGAGAACAGTCTGTGTGAACTAAAGAATTGCTACTCCTCCCAGTTCTCCAAATCCTGCCCCTTGCCAACCAATTCCAAAGCTTCTTGCACTTCACAAGGAGTAGGCATTTATGTCCCAAACCCTCTGTCCCTGCATTCTGAAATAAAATCATAGCATCTCCTTTCCCACTTCTCTTTTGTCATTCTGTTGTATACACCCATTGTCTTAGATTATTCTTTTTGCCCCTGGGAAATCCACTCTCTACATTTTTTACCCTTCTCTCTGCCCTAAATGGACTATATCAATAGGCTCTCTTGCTTTCTTATTGGGTTCTGCCAGTGGAATCCTCCACAGTGAGGAAGGAAAGTGAGGTCAAGATCTTCATCCCCAAACTCCATCCCTGAAGAGTTCCTTCAGGATGACTTGGTCCCTAGACAAATAGGTTCCCCATACAAGTCTCTGTCCTTCCTAACTGTTCCCTTTTGGTCCTGGCTAGGGTGGAACCCAGAGATACTGCATTGTACCTGGGGATTCCCTGAACCCTGCTGTTCTTTAAATGGCCACTTTATTCAACCTTGCTTGAATTGCACTAATTTGGGGGTGTCATCTCTTTCCTGTTGGACCTCTCACTGTTACCTCACTATTCAAAAGCTAAAAAAATTAAAACTTTCCCAAATGAAAACAATGAAGAACTCTGTATTTCCTATTGGCCAAATTGAGTACTTATTTTATTTTTTAAATATTTTATTTATTTATCTTTAGAGAGAGGGGAAGGGAAGAAGAGTGAGTGGGAGAGAAACATCAATGTGTGGTTGCCTCTCATGTGTCCCCCACTGGGGACCTGGCCCGCAACCCAGGCATGTGCCCTGACTGGGAATCAAACCGGCGACCCTTTGCTTCACAGGCCGTGCTCAATCCACTGAGCTACACCAGCCAGGGCCCTGAGTACTTATTTGTAAAAAATAATGTATAATATTATACATTGTAGTTTGGAAAATAAATTGAAAATACAATTTAAAAATTCAACTTTTCAGGAAGTGGAACTATAAAAACTAACTATATTTTAAATGAATGTTTTAAATAAACTCTGTGCTTGTCCTTTGTTTCTCATTCCAGAACTTGAGCAGCACACTAGCATGACCAATATTTTCATCCAAAATGACTCAACTTATTAAAATGTAGTATATGTATAATATTTTGTGATTATTTTTCAAAGAGTGAGATAATCCCACCTGTACCACTCTGGAAATATTCTTTCCTCTAATGCTTACCACTAGTAAAATGAAAATAAATGAACCAATTATCCAATAATCAGTTTTAAATAAAATAATTTACACTTTTATTATGAGCAGATTCATTAAAGAGAGCTAAAACGAGTAAAGCTTCACATTTTAGAACCACACTTTAGTGTAAAGGTTTTGGTATAAAGTGGAAATGGTCATATGCTTAACTGTAATTGAGTGTTCTGCTTCATTTAGCATAAGTAGTTTTCTTATATGTAATATAATATTGGTGCTCTCTGAAGCATCTACAGAGCAGACCGTAACTCATAAGTAGAGTCATTAAGAAGTATTTACGTATCTTCAGTTTGATTACAATCCTCTTCCTAACTTATATACAAAACAAGATGGAAAGATGAATGATTCTAAGGATTTTTCAAACTCCAGTGAACAGCACAAAAATAAATAATAGATACTTAAAAAAAACGAAATTTTAATGAAAAACTACAATGTTTCAAAAACAAAGTGAATGCATTTTATTATCCTAACAAATAAGGTTAGGAAAGGATGATTTAAGAACTTCAGGGAGTAAACAAAAATTTTGTTAGCGCTGTTTCAAAATGTAAAAGGTAGTTCCTACTATCTCTTACAACTTCTAAATGTACATTTTCAGTCCATGTCTTTCATAGATGGCATCAATTGTAGACTTCAGTTCCTGCCTTACCCTAAAGCTGGTCTTCCCCTAATGCTCCCAGTCATGAGAAGGAAACCATCATCCATGTGGTTTTCAAGCCCCAAACCTAGAAAGAGTCATCCTTGACACCATTCCATTCCCCATTCACTTCAATCAATAATCAAATACTGTTATTTTTCAATTTTAACTTTTTCATATGTCTTTTTCTGACTTTCTACATCTCTCAGTCCAGTGATCTATTCCAAGCCTATATCTTCTGCCTTAAAATAAAACTGAAATGACTTCCTAATTTACCTCTCATAACCTCCCAACACCATTATTCTTTCATTCTACTTTCTACATAGAGGCACAGTGATATTATTAAGGGTGAAAGTCTGATTATTTCACTAGGATCCTTCAAAGTCTTCCTATTGTTCTTAGGATAAGATCTAGAATTACAAAAAAATGTACAAGAATCATTCAGTCTTATCAGTCTCATTCCATGACACCTCACAACCTTTGTCTGTCTCACTCTCTTTGTTCACAACATTCAAAAATACAACAATCTTATAAGGCTGCCTCAGAATCTTTGCATATGTTTCTCCCACTGTGTGAAATACTTGTTCCCACCCTTTAGGGCTCAGCTTAAGTGTCATCTCTTCAGCCTACCCTCTCTGGATCCCCAGACTAAGTTAGATCATCCTACAATTTTCTCATTGCATTTTTTAATTTTCTTTGTAGCATGTTTTAATATTATTAAATACTTAATTAGTGAAACCTAATTTATTTATTTTTTGCTGTATCTCTTGCCACTCTTAAATATCCATTAAGGCAGTAGAAACCTGGTCACTTTTATTCCTCTTTTATTCCATTTTTTCCCTTAAAGTATTCATTTACCTTCTTGTTTGAATCTATTGTGTCTATCACAACTGAGAAGATGCAAACATATTAAAATAATGAGGAATGAAAAAGAAAGATGGAAGAACTAGTTTTTCTTAATAATTATCATGTCAAAGTATCATGACAAATCATGACACTTTTCTATTTAGACTTAATCTTCACACAGCCTCAAACTTCAGAAAATTTCTCCAGAGAAAAAACAATGTTGTCATCCTTAACTTCATGTGAGCAGCAAAGGTCTGCCAGTGTGCGGGTCTCCCAGTAGCGAACTTCCACCTGGACCTTAGCCTTGCAGAACACTTGGTCCCCTCCAAATTGTCCATAAGCATATTGGTCTGTGCCAAATGGTCCTCAATATTTGGTCCTGTCAAAAAATCCATGCACAGAAAACGCCCCTGTGTTCAAACTGCTCACAATATTTATTTCTACTTTAGGTTTACAGGATTAATACATAAAAATACTACCATGTTATATTGGTTTAATAATTGTGTTGGGGCTGTATTGCCAAGAATCACCCTTCTTGTCTTGGTAGCCAGCATGAGATAGGTGGGTCTGGGTTTGAATCTTGCAGAAGAGCAGGATTGTGTTAACTATGGACCAAATGTGTCTGTGAACATTTTGGACATGACCAAATATCGACACCTTGTGGTGTAGACCAGCTGTCTTTGTGGACATCTAACAGGACCAAATGTGTGCTCATTGGGCCTGGTCCAGAGTGTCAGCATCAACCACTTCTTAAGAACCATCAAGAATTTCAGGGACAGCTTTAGATCCCGATTCACCTCTAAAACCTTCTGCTCTCTCTGGAATTTCAATTTCTCTAGTCCTCTGCTTTCTGCCTTAAATAATATGATATTTAACGTTTAACCCAGCTTTTCTAATCATCCTCTGCAACAGGAGCAGTGGCCTGTTGCAAGTTACTCCATCCTACCGCACTTCCACAATGTTAATAATCACTTATTTGATAATGATTTCATAATTTATATCTTTAAGCTTTGACTTTCATGGTATTTTTTAAATTGAAATTTATTTGTTAAATTTGTAGTATAATTACAGGCTTTAGAAAGCAAAGCATAAAAAAAAAAACATGCTGGAGAAACTTGTATGTTTAAATCCTTGCCCTCATTTCCCCCCATTACTACCCCACTCCTTTGGGTTACATGTAGATTACCATTTTAGTTATTTAGTTATTTTCCTTTAGTTGTTTATACCTCCAGTATCACAGGAATTATAAGACACAGGGTCAAGAGGAAAACACATACAAAATTTAGAGTCCTTCAGTACATTCTGGTACTAAATATTTGAAAGACTTTAAATTGGGGAGATTAACATCCAAGAAAACAAGTGACATGATAGAGAATATTATCAGAAAATGAAAAGATACTAAAAATAAATGAAATTCCATAGTGGAAAAAATATACCAATTAGAATGAACTCAATAGGTGAATTTAAAAGCTAATTAGACATGGATGAAGACAGAATTAGTAAACTAGAGTATAAGTAACTGGAAAAGCAGGTGAAGGTAAGATTGATTAATGCATTAGAATAAAGATAAATTTAAAAAAAACTTTGATCTGAAACAGAGAACACAATAACAAATGAAAATAGAAAGTAAAAGAGCATAAGAAACTCATGGACACAATAAAAGATTTATGATATGTATAATTAATATTCCAAATATGAGTAGAGAAAGAATAGAGCAGAAGCAATATTTGCAGAAAGAATAGTTAAGAATTTTCCGAAACTAATAAGAGACATGCTGGTTGACAATCACCCAAGATGAGTGTCACGGATTCCTTTTTCCCCTATATATGCATGGTGCCCCTTACATGAAGAGGTGGAATCTAGTCACCCTCCTTTTGAAACATAAAGACTTTTTTTTTGACAAACAAAATGGAGAAAAGTGTCATTCTTGGACTTCCAGCTTAGGTCAACTGAAACCTTACAGTTTATGCCTTGTAGCTTATGCGTGGGTCTTTGGAACACAGAAGTTTAGTTGCATTCTTTTGAAATTGCTACAATTTGTTAATAGAATTACAAGTCATATAAAGAGACCACTTATGGGCAGTCAACAGCCCCAACTAGTTTCCCAGCAAACTTTTG